TAGAAGACGACTCGATCGCTGGGACAATATGGTTATTCGCCTGACGTTTCGAGATCCGTCGCGGATTCATCATCAACAGAAAAAATCGATAAATGCCTTTGTGCGCTAATTCGTTGTGTCAGCAATGACCATCTGGCCTTACGGTGCTGAGACTAAATTTGGCCAAAGCAAACCGCCGCTCCTGGAACACACAGGCCACCACATCATTTTATGCCAACACCACAAGGCCAGCTGGTAATGACTGACACAACGAATCAGCACACAAAGACATTTATCGATTTTTTCTCTACGTTTAAATTTTACAGCAGACCCCTGTGCACACACAAACTGCTTGTGCTACTGTTCTGTGAGTATGTCTCTGATAATGAATCCGTGACTGATTTCGAAACGTCAGGCGAATAAACATATTGTCTCAGCGATCGAGTCGTCTTCTACTTTTCTAGTACCCCTAGTTCAGAGTGTTAGGGCTCACTCTAATTAAATCAGCTGGCGACAAAGCTGATGTCAACGCGCAAGCAGGCAGGCAGGCAGTGAGCCGCGCTCACGAAAGGCTATTGATCGGCCTACACGCGCAAACGCAACTGGCAGTCAATCAGTCAATAATTTAAAATTTAAGGCTATAGACAGACTAAGAATCTGACAAGCCAGCCGCTGAATCACAAACCAGTCGTGTCACTACTCTCTCCAGAGCAGTATCTGATTGATCTGATTGGACATTGCTTCACACACGTTGTTTACCCTAAATTTGTTGTACGAGGTCCACAAAAAGGCTTCTGCTTTTGCGCTCATCTTTTCGTGTTTTTTTCTTGGGGGCTCACACAAGACGTACTTAGGCGGTGACATCTCGGCTTTGGTTGCCGTTACAACACAGACCAAGTAGAACCGGACACAGCCTGATGGATAGTGTTTGGAGGACAGAAACCAGGGCAAGCCCTCAGGTGCTCGGGGTCTCGAGCATTTATGTACACGGAATAGCTTAACCCCAGATTCTACTTTCACCTAAGACTAGGTTAGGCGGTGTTTCTGACATGCATTGGAGAAAGCGACCAACGCCGGATCCAGTCTGGTCTTCGTGACCCATTGTTTTAGTGAAGAGTGCGTTTGGCGCCAACTACGCCTGCTATCACTTTAAAGGTACCCCCTGTGGCCAGTCACCACCACTTCTGGTCTTGTTCTAGTACCTTGTTTGTGTACTGAAACAAGCATATGCTATCTCTGTCATATTTATGCATTCTTTTAGCAGATTCCGTCACTTATCGCCTCCATATGCCCCACTCCTTAAACCCTTACTACCCTGCTTCCTTTCCTACAGGAGTCCTTGTATCCCATTTTTTTATGTGGAACTATATGCGATCTCCTTGCTCCGCAAGTTTTTTATCCGAATCAGGTGATCATCCTTCGTTTATTCACATTATGCTACATGAACTGCTCGCCGGTATCCCGTCAGTTACGTGCTACTAATGTATAACTGGCGTTCGCAGTCTTGGCCTTATTACACGATAGAATAGGAGTGCGCTTCTATTTTATCACATGAAACTCCAGTCTAAGCCATTACAGGTCATTTTTTAGCGAGAAGTAATCGGTAGTCGAGAATTAGTACCCAGAGACAAGGGTTGGTAGACACGATCGTTTCCGGCATACTTGCCGCCGACAGCCAACCATATCCGGATTCCAGGCCAGGACAACCTGTGTCATCCAGCGGCTGAGTCAACTACGTGAAAATAAAAGCCTGACTTCCTGAAAACTGTCTTGAAGCAGTGCGATACCTACAAGCCTCCACTTTGATGATGAGTTAATTAATGTTTCCTTTTATCAGTGAATCCGTAGCAGCTGGTTGGACCCTACGTTTTAGAGTACTGGCTTAAGATTATTCTCCCCTTACATGTACAGGGATTGGGAGGAATTAAATAACCTTCCAAGGAAAGTCATTATTTTGATTATGTCTTAAAATGGGGTCCGAATTAATTGTATTAAATTGGATCATAGGTCCGCTCGGATGTCTGTTAGTTATTCAGTTTTAGTCTTTGTGTTACTGTTGCAAAAAAGCGCGTGTGCTTTCGAATTTTACTCAAATTTGCCTCTTTTACCGCATTGTCTCCCTAAATCCCAAACCCTTAAACCAAGACTGCACCGGGCTCCGGCTTTCTGCCTTAGAGACTCCATTATTAGCCCCTTGCTGTCTCCTCTAAATGACCTTTTAACTGCGTGACGTGCTTGGTGGCTAAACTTTGTGGTTGATTCTTTTTCTTTCTACAGACCCCTGAACCCCCATCTGCTGAGCATTGCCTACCCCCATTTTCCTAGGCCTGTGTCCTTCTTATCTTTCAACGTGTGATTTCCCTCTTAGAATAATTCACATTATAATTCACTTCCTTCCCTCCCCTTGTATCTCCTTGGCCACGCTTTACAGCTGCTATTTTATGGTGGCCCACTTGTTGTTTGATATTTCCCCTTAACTGTATGAACCGTTAATCAAAAGGTTTCGTCTGCCCTCTACCCTTTCTATCTGCTGACTACTCTGCCTAGGTTTTGCTGGCACTAACATTTTTTTCTGATCATGCTCTATGCAGTCCGCGCGTAATTTTTAAATGGTATTCCCTTAGACGACTCTGGATGTTCAGCAGGATCTCTCCGTACCGCAGCCGCTAGCTTTTACTGGTTTATCGATCAACACCCCTCAGGCTGCCAGTCAGCCTACCTCAGAGACGGAACGCGAGTCG